TACTACATGGTAAAGAGCCAGGTAAAGAATTAGTTGTGGTAGGAATAGTTGTGGTAGGAAATTGCACATTGCCTATGGAATCCCACCCTGAATTCCAGTAAATCAAATAGATTATGAGTGTGTCCACCGTCCCCATCCTTCTATAGCTGCTATGCCTACTAAATATAACTCCAAGCAGCCAGTTTGGATTGGGATAAGAGCCTTTATAAATAAAAGTTCCCAAGCTCTGAAGGATGTTTTAATCAATTCTAATATTTTATCTTCTAGAAGTTCCCAGTCCTGTGGCATTTTTCATAATTTAAGAAAACCTTTAATACTAGCAGTAATCACAAATCAAAATCTAAAAAGCAACACCCTTTGCAACAGCATAAAAAATATGAAACACTTAAGCATAAATCTGACAAAAAATGTTCAAGACTACCACACTGAAAACTACAAAACACTGCTGTAAAAAGCTAAAGAAGATCCAAAGAAGAGGGAAACACATGTGGTGTTCATGCGTCAGAAGACTCACTGTTGTTAAAATATCAATTATCTCCTCATAATGATTCTTTGCTCATTTACAGATGCAATGCTATCTAAATGAAAATCCCAACAGGACTTTTTATAAAAATTGGCACAGTAATCCTAAAATTTATATGGAAATGAAAATGACCTGTACTAGCCAAAACAACTTTGAAAAAGAACAAAGTTGGAGAGCTAAGAGTACCTGATTTCAAGACCTATTTTAAGGCTACAGGCATCAAAACAGAATGGCACTGGCGTAAAGATTAACAACTGGATCAATGGAGCAGAATACGGAATGCAGAAATAATTGGACTTCTGATTTTTGACGAAGGTTCAAAGGCAATTCAGGAGCAAGAACTGCTTTGTCAACAAATAGTGCTGGAACAATTGAAGATCTGTATGAAAAAAGAAAGTACTCTAACCCATCTCTCTCATCATATATAAAAATTAACTCACAATAGATCATAATCCTAAATATAAAAGCTAAAACTACCAAACAGAGGAAAACACAGGAGAAGGTCTATGTGACCTTGAGCTAGTCAAAGATTTCTTATCTTTATCTTCTTAGACATGCCATGAAAAGCACAATCCATAGAAAAATAAATTGGTTAATGGACTCAAAATTTAAAACTTCTGTGTTTTCAAAGACATTGGTAAGTGAATGAAAAAAGCTAGAGTGGGGGAAAAAATCCTTGCAAATCATATATATGATAATTGACTTGTATCCAGAGTATATAAAGAACTCTCAAAACTCAGGAAGAAATAATCTAATTTTTTTAAAACATGCAAAAGTATTGAACAGACACTTTATGAAATAAGATACATAAAATGGCAAACAGGTACCTGAAAAGATGTTCAACATCATTAGGGAAACACATAATAAAACCACAGTGAGATTCCACTACCTATCATTGGAATAGCCAAAAACCTGACCATACCAAGTGTTGGTGAGCATGTGAAGAAACTAGAATTCTTATAACACTGCTGGCAGAGATATAAAATGATATAACCAGTTTGGAAAACGGGTTGACAATTTCTTAAAAAGTTAAACATACACTTACCATATGATCCAGCCATTTGATCCCTAGGTATCTACCCAAGAGAAATGAGAGCACATGGCCATAAAAAGAATTATATAGGAATGTTCATAGCAGCTCTAACAGGTTAATGGGTAAAAAATGGATATCCACACAATGAAAAGCTAGTTGGCAATACAAAGCTGTGTATTGATACACACAACAACATGGATGAATTTCAAAATAATTATGCCAAGTGAAAGAAGCTAGACAAAAAGGAGACATACTGTATGATTCCATGTGTATAAAATTCTAAAAAATGTAAACACATAGTAACAGATAATAGATCAGGGGTTGACTGCCGATTGGGGGAGCAGGACGGGTGGGAGACTGGGATGGGAAAGGAACAGAGAAAACTTTTGGGGTGATGGGTAGGTTCTTCATTTGATTGTGACAATGAGCTCACAGGCATATACACATAGGTCAAAACTTATAAAGTCGTATCGTTTATTATGTCAATTATATCCCAAAAGAGCCTTTTTAAGAAGAGAGTAAACCTTTAAGTCCACTTCACAGATTGCGCCTCTTAGAATTCTCCACGTGGGTCAGAATTAGCTCAGAACCAGTCACTGATACTACTTCTCACCCTCTCCTTCTTGGAACTTTCTTTTGCAACCATTTCCTAACTTTGCATCCTGTGGGCTCCTCTCCTACCCCATAGAGCCTTTTGGTTTTCTTCCCTGGTTCTTATCCTTCCTCCCATGTCTTAAGCGAGAACGTTCTTTAGGGTCCACAGCTGGTCTCTCTTTTATTCTCATGTACACTCCTTCCTGAGCAATCTCTCCACCTGCTCGGCCCCAGCCACCATCTGTACTCTAAGAACTCCCAATCTGCACTGCAAGACTTGTCCTCTCTCCCGACCTCCAGATTTCCACAAGCTTCCCCTTTCATTACCTCCAATTTAATGAGTGCAAAACTATAAATGTTCCCCCATCCAAACCTGCTGCCCAGCCTGTGTTCAGGTCTCCCCTTCCAGCACTGCCATCTCCCCAGCCACCCACGCCCAGCACAGCGCAGCGGATGAGAGCACAGGTTCGGGAGTATGGTCCCGGATCTGTCACTGATTTACATATGCATCTTGGGAGAGTTATTTAACCTCTTTGTGCCTCATTTCTTCATTTGTCTAATGAGTCTCTTCCTTATAAGGTTACTCTGGAGATTAAATAAGATACACATAGAGTATTTATGAGGTGCCCAATACAGAGTAAGTGCTCAGTGATTAGTAGTATCATGGGTGACATTTACCTCTCTCTACTTATTCACCAAGGACTGTTCATGTGGTTCCTGCAGCCCCTTGTCCTCCTCTTTCCCTTCCCTCAGCTGCCCCCATCTCAGACTCATTGTATCTTGATACTATGTTGAGACAGCCTACTCTGATCTTCTCTTCAGTCCATTCTGTCAAAGGCTACCTAAATGAACCCAGGTCAGCTCATGAACTTCCATGATCAAAGACCTTCCATCGGTCCCCCTTGTCCAAACAGTGCAGTCCTTAGCAGGGCTTTCAAGAGTCTATGCCTTGATGCTACCCCATTTTTCCACCTTCATATCTCTGGTCTGAACTCCATATCATTTGGGTACTCTTATTTCTTCCCTGTCCTCCATAAACCCTGCCCTGACCTACTGTCATGTATTTGTCTAAGGAGGTCATTCCACAGCTCCCCATCCCCAGGCTTAGCTCAAATGCTATCCTTTTAATGAACTTGGCCCAATTCCCTAACTGGAATCAGTCAGTCTCTCCTCAGTGCTTACATTGCACTTTATAGGTCAAATTACTTACATTATTGTCATTTATATATTTGCCTGTTACTCTTACTTACCTTTGCTAGGCATTCAGTGAAGGCCTGAATGCTGAATGGAATAAAATGGAAAGAAAGAACATGACAAACAGTCTGCCTAAAAGCTGCCTAACATCTCCCTGGTAATGTCACCTGCTCATGGAGTTTCTCTGTAGACTGACACTTTACAAATTAGCATCCTGTTCAAGCTGAAAGAGCACCAGAGAGCCATCTCATTGGAAAGCACTCAAGAGAAATAGCAACAACACCACTCAAGGAGTGTGGAGGGGGAGAAGAGAAGCAAATAAGTTACGACAGATGCTGACTTAATCTTGGCTATTCTAAATGGCTCTTTCTGCAGTTAAGATGTCTCTCTTCTGAGAGGAAGCTGTTTACTGTTCATTGCTTAGGCATGCCAGTCAAGCATCCCAGAGATGCTCTCTATTCTTCTTATTTTATAAATTAGGGTGCTGCTTTACAAGGGGGACTAAGACTCTGCATGGCCATGCAAAATCCCTGGTGAAAAGAATTCAAGAGGCACTCACAACAGCATGTGCTTGAGAGAATCTGCCAGCCACTCACCCAGGCAGCTCCCAAGTGGGGACAGGGATAGGGTTAGAACATGAAAAGAGGTTAGAACATGAACCCAAGAAGGTGGCTGTCAATTTCCCCTCCAAATTTCCCAGATTCTCCAGGAGATTCTTTCATTATGGAAATGATTCTTTCCATTGCTTTTAGTTTAGTAGACCAGTATCTTTGAACTTTTTTCACTAAAGCAGTCAGTGGCAACTCAACTTGGTCAATACATCAGTGTCAAAATGATTTACTGCCCTTTCTTTTCCCAGAAACTCTGTAGTTACCACACAAACCACAACACTAGCATTCAGGTCCCACCTTCTACTGCTAATGGTGGACCACAGAAATATGTAAGCAAAAGATAACTAAGAGTACAAACTACTAAAGCAGTGAGCAAAAACTGATGCATCAAGGGGAGAAGGAAAAGGGGCTATATTACTATCCATTCCATCACTATAGCACTTGTGGCAATTACCTCTTTCTGTGTCTATTTCCACTCTCAGAAAGCAGGGACCAAGACTTACTACTCTTTGTACAGCCAGCATCTAGCCAAGAGGTTGGGTTCTAGTAGGATTAAATATTTGTTGAATAAATAAATATACCAGTGCACCTCTCAGAAAAGTATTCAGAGGAGGACATACTAGGAAGAGTTTTTACATATGGAAAGAATATTGCTCCTCCTTCCTTGATATTAGTTATATCAAGTACATATGAAGGAAAATTCACTTTTTCTAGACACAGGTTCATAGGTACATGAACATGGCTACTAAGTAATTTTCAACTCTGAAATTTAGAAAATGTAGGAAAAATTCTTCCCGTGTCTGGGAATATATAAGTAAAATATCTATAACACTGGGTTTTGCTTGGAATCAGGTACTTTTCATTCCAGAGAAACTGAATACAAAGAAATCTAGGCCTCCTGGTGTCATTCCCAACCCTGGCCAGATAAATGCTCCTCTCTGGAATGGCTTGGAGGAATCACATTCAAATTCCTCGACACTTTGTAGCTGAGTTACAGAGTAACCTGCTAGCAATCCTCTCAGAATTCACGGGGCTGTTGAAATAGAGCAAAGTCCACAAGATTTCCACCGAGATGTGCTGAGCAAAGGCCGGAGCCCCAGAAGAAAACAAGTGTAGACTCTGAGCAAAGCTGCCCTCATCCTGAGCGTGAGCTCGCTGGCCCCTGGGGTCTGGGTGATTGGCAATGAGCCTTGTGATGTCAGCATTCATGAGGGAGCTCCCCGGCTTGTTCCTGCTTGCTGGGGTCTTCCTACCTGTGACCTTGCTGCTGCTTCTTCTCATCGCCTACTTCAGGATCAAACTGATGGAGGGTAAGTGTGAAGCCACACCAGGTAGTGGCTTGAAGTCCTTTCCCATGGCACACCTTTGCAACTAGCCAATGCATGGTCAGTGTTTCTGGGGGGTGTCTGGGGCAATACATGGTTGTGATCTGTAGGTACTTCTCACTAAGCACTCTCTCCAGATACCTTCATTGGTGAACAGGCAGTGCGATCCTTTCAGCAGCATGGATCCTGAGTGAGGCTCTGCAGGCCTGCGGTGAGGACCCCTTAACTGCAGACCCTCCCCCCACCCCGCCCCAGAGAGCCGAACTGCGAATCAGCCATTTTGACCTGTGATTGCTTCTCTCTCTCTCACAGGGCAATATATTCCACAAATGTTAAAACACGTATCATGGTCTGCCTTCTCTACCTGACAGACACCTATGTGCATCTGACATGAGTGTGTGCACACACACACTACTTTCTCACCCACGGAACTTCTATTAAGAAAATGTGCCAAACAAACACTATGCTATCACAGTGTTTGGCAAATGTCAAGCCTTAATAGATAGTTGAGGGCTTGGTGTAAGCTTTTCATGAGTCTTATAGTCTTAAGGAAAAACAAAACAAAACAACTCAGGAGCTCAAAGTGATTTGGACATAGGCAGTGGGGTCCTGGATTGAGAGTGTTTATCCTGCTGTAGTTAAATTAATGAAACTGAAATGTGACTTCACAGACTAAATGTTAATAATGTGCCCAGCAAATATTGGATTAATATTATAGAGGTTAATAGTTATTTTAGCAATAGCAACAGAAACCAGTAATATCTAAGTTGGACGGTGTCATATTATAGCACTATAAAAACAAATTTGAAAATCATTCCTCTCCCACAAAAACTTGCCAAGTCCAGGCAATGCCTTTATGGATGTCATTCTATAAACAGATATTCAGAATCTCGAATGCAGACTGCCATCATATATGACCTAAAATCAAACAGAAGTACAACGGGGGATAGTCCCTTTTTTTTTTTTAATGCGGGGATTAAGGGAGAGGGAGAGAAAATCTTAGGTAGGCTCCACGCCCCGTGTAAAGCTTGATGTGGGGCTCGATCTCACAACCCTGAGATCATGACCTGAACTGAAATCTAGAGTCAGATGCTTAACTGACTGAGCCACTTCTAAGTGGGATACTTCTAAGACGAGATTTAGAACACAAATTCTAGAGGACAGGGAGCACATTATAGAATCATAAGTTTCCAATCATAACATACTCAAATATCCCTTAGCCTTTCATTTTTTTCCTCATTTTTATGAACAGCTCTCTTGTTGAATGACCCAGCTGTATTGTCTTGCTCTACAGCATTCATGTGATAAACCCTTTTATTAAGTTAGTTTATCCTCCATGGCCTCAAGACCAGTCTACCAGATGTTCTGCCACCTAGCCATTCATTAACACTGACTGAGTCCTGGAAAAGAGCCTCTGAAAAAGGAAGAGAAAATTAGAAATCTCCAGGATCCTAACTATGGGATTTTAGCCTTCCAAATTGGTTGAATGCCAAGCCATTGCAAACATTTCTATTTTGAAAGTCTTTTAAAGCTGTTGCAATGGCCATTGTCATTCACAGGCATGCCAGGCCCCCAGTGACACTGAGCACCCTGTGGAGCAGTAACAGGATGCTGATGTCACAGAGACTTGAATCATTCATGTCACTCCCAAGTTTCATCTCTGGCTGCCTTTTTGGGGAGATAAATGTTTAGTACCTCAAAAATGTATCAAGCCTTAAATGAGGCAAGCAACAGACCAAGATAGCCTCATGGATTCCAAAGTCTCTTACTGGCCCCTATTTAAGTTATTATAGGCCAGATCATTCAGCAGGACACCTGGTATTTGGGACAGACTCTTCTTCAAAAAAGGATGAATCTTGGTTTTATAGCCTTACTTATCCCTGGGTGACTTTTGGGGGAAAACATCTGTAATCTGCAAAAATTAAAATTAAATGGGTCTATAGTATTTTGCTTATTTAGATAATGTAGATAATTATGAGGTATAGACATCACATTCCTTCAGAAGGTCCTGGAGAAGGCAGCCTGCCCTTGAAAGCGTGGCCGGGCATCACAGGGGGCTGATGCAGGACAAAATGCAGGCAATGTGTACACACAGTACCAGGCCCCAAGGACATGCTTAACGTGAGTACCAGGATCATTGCACGGTGACCCCTTCATCCTTGCCCTAGACAATATAAGTTGTCTAGAGATTAAAGCCTCCATGTTTTGCAACACAGCATATAACCCAAAGGAAAGCGAGAAGGTCAGCCCTATACAACAAAGGCCAAGGCCCCCCGGGTAGAGTCCTTTCACCAACTTTGAGGCTTGTTCCAAATGTGCACCATACTTTTGGGTAGGAAGAGTTCTCATGCATTCATTCAACACATATTTGAGAAGATACCACATACGAGGGATTGTCCGAGATTCTGGAACAGATTTTTACTATGGGCTTTCAGAACTGAGAGAACAATCCTAGGTCTAGAAAACCACAAAAGGCATCTGGCAAAATTGTTAGAAGTTGGAGGAGAGACATTGCAAGTCTCTCTGTTTCTGGCTCTGGCCTCATTTACAGGTCTGGTCAATGGCCTGAAGAATGACCTGCCCTTCTCCCTAAGTCTTGTCCCAACATTAGAGCAGAGCACTCCCACTGGAAGCAGAACCCTCCAAACAGCTAAGGGGCCCCCACAATGATGTAATAAGCCTCCGGGCTATAGGTAAAGGAGCACAGGAGGAGTGAGTGAGGAGGTGGAAGGAGGCAGTGAAACTCTCTGCATCGGTCACTTAATGCAGTAGGGGTCCCATCTGAGGCTTACTGTTGGAAAGAATACTAATGACTATTAGCACGCTGTTGCCAGCAGCTTGCCAAGGAACCATCTGCAGGATACCAAGGGAGGACTGCCCTGCTGACTGGACCAAAGCAGGCTTCTCTGTTGTCAGCTTTCATTCAGTTGAGACTGGGTCCCAAGTGTGGTGGGGTAAGACAATGAGGGCCCTGGGCACTATTCCTTGTAGGTACCTGGCCAGGATAGCAGGTGAGGGGCACCCTGGATTATTACTCTCTCAAGAATTTTCTATTCCAACTGTGCTTTGCTTATCTTTCCCTCTTCTCCCCAATGGGAACTGTGCATCCTTTCTTGGAATAATTCCCGATTACGTTTTCCAGGGTTAGCAGACAACCTTAGCCTAAACGTATTTTCATTTTTATGTAGCTCTGTTCCCTTTATTTTCCAAATTTTCCTTTAAAAAAACTTTAAGAACACTTTTAAAGGATAGTTCTTTCTGTGGCTGTTTTCCTAAGTGTAAGTAGTTATATCTTTTCTATAGTTTGAGGGCAATTGAGATCACTGGACCCCAAATAAAATATCACCAGTTTGTATCTTTATTTAGCAGTTCCCACTTAAAAACTGTAACCAGATGGTCAAATGTCATGTCATTAATCTTCCAACCGGGGTTATGGCAAGTGTAATCATTCCAATTTTGTTCCTGTAAAGAAAGGGACATTGACAGATTAACTGGTGTGTTCACAGAACCCCAGAGTCCTACATTCTGAAACAGAAAATCAGCTTGCCTTCTCCATACATCCTAGTTCATCAGCCTAGAGAGGCATTTTAAGATGTGATGGAAAGCATGTGGAGGTACTGTAATCACTCAGCATTAATCCCTACACTTGAAGCCTTGGGAAGTAATGGTGCATGTAAATTTAATTAGTATGTAGACAACATCAATTTTCTCACAAAGGAAGAAAGAAAATTCTCTAGCATCCTGCACTCTTCAATCTCTGTCAATTACCTCGAGGAGTAGCTCTTGAGGTGGATGTCTGAATCTTGAACTTTCCATCAGCAAAACCCTTCATCAACTACTCCCATGGACATTTCATACCTTCTGAGTACAAGTTTTGATTATCTTACCTCCCCAACTCCTGAGATTCCTAAACCTCTACTTCCAGTATTACTCTTTGCCCCCCAAATACCATCACCCTGATCAAGGACAAATTGCTCTCCGAATAACCAACACTGCCCAAATAATCATTATGCTAAAAAAAATGTCTATTGAATGCCTGAAAGTTTTTGTATGGAGTTAGATCCAAAATAAGGTCTGGTAAGTGATCACATTCTGGCCTTCAGCAACTTAACATTCTAAAACAAACATCTCAAGTAGCAGATGGCTAGACATCTTTCACTGAACTTCATATATATGCTTTAGTAGTCAGCAATCAAAAGGGAATAAGATAAGTATTTGGAAAAAAATCAGAATAATTTAAGCATTATTAGAGTAAAATTGTTAAGAGCTCAGACTATGGAATCAAACCAAACGGGGTTTGAATTCCCAGTGTCACAATGGCTACCCAACCTCTTGAAGATCAGTTTTCTTCATCTGTAAAATAGAATAATAGCAGGAAATAGCTATAAGGTTGGTATGGGGATTAAATGAGGTGATACATACAAGGTTCTTAACAATGCCTATTCCAAAAACTATTAGTTGTTATTATCCCTGCTAACTTATAAATTCCAAGAAGCCGTGTTTTGTCATTATAATAATAGCTATTATTAAAATTACCTTGTAACAATTAAGTAAATTGCCCAAATCACTCACCTGGAAAGTGGTAGAGACAGGAACTGAACCCTGGCCAGCCAGCTCCAGAGCTAGCCTTCTCAGCCAGCACACAACTCCTGGAGTATTGAACACAGATGACATATTCAATAGATATCTGTTGAATGGATGAATCCTTTTGGCCCAGGCAAACAAACTTACCACAAACAAGGAAGGCAACTGTGGGAGAATTTTAAACAAGGCAAGGATTTCATGAAAGCTTTGAGAGGCTTTCATCTCTTCATGTAACAGGAGTAAGTATTTCTGACGGTGATTCCTTAGCATGAAGACGTCACCCTGAGTCAAAGAGGCTGCATTTCTTCACCTGTGGCCCAAGAGGAGAACTTCATGGCCTGCAGAACTTCCACAATACCAAACTCAGGTGTTTTCAAGGCCACCTGCCAGTCTCACCTGTCTAGTACCTCTCAGCCCGCACCTTAATAGGCCTAATGAAGTAAAGCGATAGCCAGGTGCAAGCTCCTTCAGGAGGGAGGAAGGTGAATTATCACTGTTGTTCTCCGGACCTTGCACCAGACACCATGTACTGGAGCGCTAACTCCCTGTGGACTGAGGAACTTCCTCTTGGTCTCTGTTCTGCTTCTCCACTCCTCCTAGAGTTCTCTCCCTTCAATCCCATTACTCAGGTCACCAATTTTCAGTTCTACAATTTGTGTTCTGGTTCCTCATTCAAAGCACTCGTCGTGTAGTTAGTCTTCGTTAATGAAGACTAAAAGGGAAGAAATTACTCACATTTCAATGAGTTTATTATCTAAGCCAGGGGCCATCTCAAGCAATACCTTTGAACTAGCAATCATCTAATGGACAGGCAGTGTAACCGAGTGGTTGAGAGTGTGGGCTCTGGAATCAGACTGCCTGGGACGGAATCCTGAATCCATCCATTTCTGGGATCGTAGGCAAATTGCTTCCTCTTGATTTCTCCCTGCCTCAGTTTGCTCATCTGTAAAGTAAGACTAACAAGGATGACTACAGCATAACGGCATTGCAAGAATTAAATGTGATAAGACATGCAAAGGGATTTACACAGTGGCTGGCACATAACAAGTACTCAATAAATATTAGCTATTAAATCTTGAGGCTCATGTAGCCCATGGCTTGTCACCATCCAGTGCGTATGTAACACCTGCTGACTATGATGGCAAGCCGTTGTGGAGGCCTAGAACTCAGGTCAAGGAGAGCGCATGTGTCCTGGGGTACGTCGCATATAAAGTGCATGGCAAGGGGTAAATTGCTTGGATTTGATACAGCAGCCAAAGGGAAGATTTCCAGGCTCAAGTCTATAAACGTGTACTACCTCCCATAAGAGTATAAGCTTCTGATCTCTGGTTTTAGATGATATGAATAATTATAATTCTGAAAATAAAATTTTAAGAGTAAAAACAGATTCAGTGGTGTGTGTTGGTGGTGGTTAGGAAGAGAGATGTATTTTTTTGATGTACCAGGAAGATCCCAGATCCCAAAGGATACTTGTTGGGATCTCAAGGGAAATCTCAGGGCTAAAGATCAAATGTGTTATTGCCAGCAAGGTAATAGTTGAACCTACAGGAGCAGAGAAGAGGACACAGAATGATGGTATATAATAAAAGCCAAAGGGAGGAAAATAACTGGATCGTGATGGGGCTTGTGTCCGTTGTTCCAGGGAAGGAAGCTGGGGGTCGAAAAATGCCACTAGATTTCACAAATAAGATACCATTGATGAGCTTTAATAGTTCAGTAGAGTAGCTTTAACTGAGGTCATATTTTAAGGGGTTAGGGAATGTGCAGGTGGTAAAAAGTTGAAACTGTCAGTTTTCAGTAAAGGATGTCAAAATGTAAAAGAGAGAAGACTAATTTGACATATCTAAGGACTAAATGCCCAACACATTTTTGGGGGCAGGGAGGGTCAGAGACAGAAACTCTATCTTACTCATTTCTACATCCCCGCCCCCGGCCTACAGACATTGCTTTATCAATGCTTATTGAATGAGGGAGTCTTAATACATTTAATCAACAATTAATCTGCTAAATATTAAGTATACTTAGCTACACTTAGCATGTAACAATTATTACAGTGGTAATTTGTCCACTACAACTGGGTCCATTCTTTCAAAATAAGCATTTCATTTCTGTTGGAAGTGGTTGGGGAGGTGAGGGGAGACCCTGCAACGGCCTTGCTCTGGGGACCTGGCTTTGAGTAACTTGCAGAAATGCTGGCCAACACCCACGCATGAGTTGTACATGACCAATGGCAGGCACTTAGCTGCTTCCAAAGTACTAACTGATAATTTTCCTTTCAGTTAACGAAGAACTGTCGCAGAGCCCCCATCACCAGCAGAAACGCAAGGCTGGCTCTTACCTGTACCAGCGGACAAAAAGAACGTGACTTGGGGACTGATCCATGGCTAAAGCGCAGCGAATTTCTACTGGTCAGAGAGCAACGGTCAATGGCTTAGCTAATGAAATAAGTTCATAAATTCAGACAACAGCATACATGGAATACTGAAAAGCTTGTTCTGAACCACTTTGCAAAGTGGCAGCTATGACCCAGGGGTACATCTATGAGACTCAGTTAAATAGCAGTTCGTTGGAGAGTACCAAGAATATAAGATTCTCTTGGATGTGCACTATGGACTGGACGCTTGGCAACTTTTTAACTTTTATAGGACTCTGTCTACTCTGAAGGACACTATTTTTTTAAGTAAAATTCTTAAGTATCCTTGTTACATAATCCCATGGAAGTGTACATCATTCTGATTTTATAGATGAATAAATTCTGGTAGAGAGCAAACGGATAGCAAAAGACAAGTGCCTTGAGAGCACTGTGGATTCCCTCTGCGAGAGCATTCCCACTTCCTCCGCCTGCCGCACGGCAACTCTAAAATGACGCCCTTCCAGGCATCACTTCCGGCCCTGAGTTTGCTTCTCTCCCTTTCCCAGCTACCTTCACAAATCACACCACCCTTGCGATGACCCACAGAACAAGTGGAGTCTCTCCATACTAGATATGGATCACCCATGAAGGCAGCTTTCGTGCAAGCAATGGCTTGGGAATACTGGCAATTTGCTGGTGGGCAAAGGGAAGAAGAGGGCATTCATGTAACTCAGATGGAGAATAGTTCAAGCGTTTGCCTCTAAAACCAAAACATCAAGGAGCTATTTCTCAATACGGAAAGAAGTCAACATTTCACTAGCAGAATTCTTTTCTCAGTGGGAGCCCCAAGGAGCCAACATAGATAACCAAAAAGAAACACTTAATCCAAAGTGGTCATTAAAGTAGATTGAGTACTCTTGTGCTTGCCACAGTTTTCTAGTTAAGACCAACAAAAGATGCTTCCCATGTCCTAAGTGGGAGTCTGGTTATATTCCAATCTTTGCATGTGAAGCTAACAAGCTATTAGAGTGATTAACTTTATAAAACGTACTGAGTTTGGTCACCTGTAAGAAATGCACCAACTTTTGTAGTGACATACAATCTTACGAAAGATGGTGTGTATGACCAAAAGCAAGGACGGACCACTGGTGCTGGGTATTTTCTTGGCTACCCCTCGCCCCACTTCAAATTCTTCACATAAGTCCAGAGACATTAGTCTCCATTTGCCCCTGTTGATAATGTAAAACTCAGTGTTTGAAGACACTCATTCTGTTTTATTGCATTTGATTACAATGGAACTGTCTGCTGGGGCTTTCAGACGGAGGTAATTTAAAATAACAGCGTTGGTGCCATATGGAAGGAATAATAATATTCTATCAGTTCTAGGAGGGATCTCTTTTTAGCCCCCGATGGAAATCAGCTTATGTAAAAATGCTTTCTTTAACAGAAGGCGTGAAAGGATGCATCGTATTCCCAGCTGCCAGCCAAATCTGTGGTTTGGCCACCAGGGTTGGCTCCACCTTCTTCTGGAAAGACGGGAGCCTGGCTTTTGGTTCTGGTGGAGGCAAGCCCACCATCTCTTCCTGCCCAGGGAAAATGTATCCCAGCTACTGTGATAACGGATGAGCTCCCAACACGTATTTTCAGCGATAGGCATAACCAAGGAGTTTAAAGCAAGACCCATTTCTTTTGTTGCTGTTGAGAATAATTTCCAGTGAAGTCCTGAGCAGATTTGTGGTTTTTACGTGTAAAGAGAAACAGAAGCATGTTTTCCCATGGAAAGACCAAGTCCCAAGGGTTTTGCTACAATCTGCTTGAAGGCACGGCTACTCAAATTGTCAAGTCCTTCCCAGAGCGCCCCCAGTCAGTCAGCTACACTTGCTCTTCAGATGTTCACAGCCCAGTTTAAGATCTTCTTCCGGCTTGGGTTGCTTTGGCTCGTCTGCATGGCTCCTAGACCAGGCGGCAGCCTCCTTACATTATCCTCTACTCTGCTCCACTCTGTGCTCCAAAGCCTCTCACCAGGGGCCCCAAATGCACACACAACCCCACAGGGTCTCACAAGGGCCCCTAATCTTATTTCTAATGTTCTAGTACCTGAAAGAATTCCCATCTGTTTCCCCCAACCCAAGACCTTCGACAAAATAATGCTCTTGTTATGTTGCCAGGTATTCAGTGAAAATTCACCAAAGAATTTTTTTTCCTTCTTTTTTACAGAGCTAAATAAAGCTGTTCATACTAACTTCCCACCTCTCTTGTTAACAGTGCTGGGAAACTGCAATCCATGACCTATATACAAGGTGGCCAAACGGAAAATGGGGCAAGGAAGGACACACGTTATGTTCCCCGAAATGTTATTCCCAACCCTTAAAGAGTAAACTTACTTATAATTAATTCGACCAGGTAATAGCCTCTAGTATTTTCTAGAATTTAGTAGCAATTAGAAAATCAAGAACAAATAAACACTCCCATACACCAAAAACAACTTTTCCTTGGAATCTTAAGCTCCTTGGCAACGTTGTGTCTCAGAAATCAGAATTCATAGCTATTAAAACACATTCTGGAAATTAATTTTCTGACTTGTTTAGAAACAGAATTTTTAGAACAAATACTCTTGAGATTTTTGCCTTCTGACTTTGTAATTAGTGTGCTAATCGGAAGAGACCTCTGAGTTTATCAGAATTTACACAATGGTATTTACCCTGGCAAATGAGTGACAGAAAACATGCATTCAAAACATTTTATCTAAAATTACCACCAAACACATTGGAAATTTAAAAATGCCTTCCACTGTTGTTTTTTTCAGTATTCAAACCCACATTCCCAAACCCAGATTATTAAGAGCAGAAGTTCCTAACTTTTATTTAGATAATAAAGAAGCCTTTTGAGAATTTAATGAAAGCCAGGAATTTATTCCTAAGAAACATGCATACACCCACAATTTTGCATATATTTGGGGAAAGTTCAGACCCTTGAAATCCATCCAGGAGTCTGTGGTTAGGAAGCCTGCAGCTAGAGTCTCCGAGTATTTGCGCTGCCTCCACATGGTGGACGATGTGTAGACCGTAAGAGGTCCCTGATGTTGTGGGGTTCTCAGGGAAGTGAGGTCCACGTACCTCCAAAGCCAAAACCTGTTCAACAGACTTCCCAAGTAACCCTAGAATAGCACAGAATTCTACTAGGGAAAGCCCTCAGCACAGCTCAGAATGGCATGATCTTCCATAAATTTGCCAGTGGTGGATCACCTCACGCACAGTGCTGTTATTACTCACGATGCCTGCCATGTTTGGAGGGTTATTACTGTGCTAGGAGCTCTGCTAGGCACTGTACACATTTTTTACCAGAATATCCCTGCACTGAGATGTAGAAGTACCCTCACTTTAAATGCTTTCATTAAAGTCACAGGGTTCAGTTACTCAGAGTGGGGGGATTCAAAGGTCCATCTGCAGGGTTCTGAGACCTTTGTATTCGAAGCAAAGTATCATTTTATACAACTGGGGCTGCTATAAATCTAAGCTAGCACCATAACTATACACAGGGTCGGTGTCCGACCCTGTGGCCAAGGGTCAGGAGCGCAGCACCTAGGATTTGCCAGCTGACCATGTTTTCTTCTGGAGCCGGTGCTACACCACAGCCGGATCCCAGCAAATACATGAATGGGTGCATGCAAGAATCCATCCAAGTCCAGGCTGGCTTCTGTGAAACTAATCAAGGTATATTCCCTCCTGTTACTGTCTCAGCAGTAACATTCAAGTGTCCCAGTTTCTTGTGCAAGCAGGGAAGACAGGTGGAAACTGACCAGAGCGCCATGCAAAGAAAAACGACGTATTCTTCTCTAACAATACATGGAGGAAGGGCTTTAAAAAAAAAAAAAAAATTATGGGGCTTAAGGTATTTTTTTAGCCTTTTATTTTTTAAAGATTTTATTTATTTGACAGAGTGACAGCCAGAGAGGGAACACAAGCAGGGGGAGTGGATGAGGAAGAAGCAGGCTTCCCGTGGAGCAGGGAGCCCAATGCGGGGCTCGATCCCAGGACCCTGGGATCATGACCTGAGCCGAAGGCAGACGCTTAACGACCGAGCCACCCAGGCGCCCTTTTTAGCCTTTTATCTAGGAATATTTTAACAGGATGATATAATAAACCCTCATTTACCATCACTTGGCTTTAGCAATTACCCACTAACGGCCAATCTTATTTCATCTGAACCACAACTCACTCCTCCCTGCCTATAATTGAATCTCAATTATGTTTTCAGATATCAAATAATTTTGTGCATAAATAAGGGAGAATACTTAATGAAGTCCATGTTGGGCAGTGGTTATGGCTACAGTCTGCTTCACTGCTGGAGTTCTGGTAATAGTCATTCCACGAACTGTGGGTCTATGCAATGAATAATGCAACGTACAATGTATCATAAAACAGAAGCTCATGACAGTGAAATACCAAACATCTACCAACTCTACATATTTTAAAAATAACCTTATTTTTTATCCAGCTGTGGCCTGTGGAAAACGCACTGCTATTTCCTGCATTCCACACAGGATTGCTTATAAGGCTTATGTATAATGTTACCTGTAAAACCCCATGCGACTAAAAGGAATTATTGCAAGGAATTATTGCTTATCACCCCGAAATTATATGGCTTTTAAGATAAACAATTATACCCAGACATCTCTCACCTCAGTGAACACTGTTGACCTATTTCTTATTCTATCATTTGGGGTTTTGAAAGCTCAGTTTACAGAACAAGCTAATACCCTGGGAAATATTTTCTAAGAACTTACAAAATATTCGGAACAGCAGCGTTGCTGCTCCAGCTACACATGGCATGACTTATCAGCACTGTTCCCAGCTGCCCTTTGGGTCCTAAGCCCCACAGATGCTCTAGGTGTCTCCAGGACCCCAAGACCTGTCTGTCTTGCTATCTCAGCTGAATGAAACTGAGCCCTACTCAAACACAGCATTTCCTATTCACTGGGAGCTGCCGAGGACACTTCCTATCACGGCAAT